ATGACTGATTCCATTTCCTTTGGCTCTGTACCCAGAACGGAGATTTTTGGATCATATGGTACTTTTAAGGTTTTTTCTTTTGTCTTTTCGAGACAGGGTCTTGCTATGCAGTTGACACTGGCCTTGAGCTCACTTTGTAGCCCCAGGCTGGTCTTGAACTCACAATGCCTCAGCCTCCCCAGTGCTGGGATTACAGGCGTGCGCCACCGTGCCCAGTGACTGCTAAGGTTTTGAGGCACCTACAGACTGTTTTCCATAGTGGCTATACTAATTTACATCACTGTGCATGGTGTTTTTCCTCTCCATTTTTGCCAGCACTTACCCTTCTTCTTCTTCACACTTGATGTTGGCCAAAAGGTTGATTTTTTCCTGATAATAACCAATCTAACCAGAGTGAGAGGAATGTTTCATTGCAATTTTGATTTGCATTTCTTTGATTATTATGTTGAACATTGTTCATATACTTTTAACCATTTGCATATCTTACTTTGAGAAATGTCTATTTAGGTCTGTTGCCTATTTTATTTGGATTATTCAGGTTTTTTGTTTCTCTCTGTTCCTACTGAATTGAGTTCTGTATATATTCTGAATAGTAAACTTTTGTCAGTTGTATAGTTTACAAATATTTTTTTTTCATTCTGTGGGTTTATCTTCACTCTTGTTTTCTTTGCTGTATGGAAGAAAGTTTTTGGTTTGATGTATTCTCATTTATCTGCCTCTAGTTTTGTGTTCTGTGCTTTTGTGGTTTTATGCAAAAATTTAAAAAAAAATTCTTGCCCATTCCAGTGTCCTGAAGCATGCTTTTCCTAGTAGTTGCAGGCATAGTTTCAGGTTTTACAAATACACACGCACGTGCGCACTCTTGCACACATCTTTAACCAGGTCAAATTGAGTTTTATAATAGGTTGAGAGATCCAGTTACATGGATTCAGTTTCATTCTTTTACATGTAATGTAAATATGTGTAAACATATTTCTCCCAGTATAATTCTCCCAGCAACATTCATTGAAAAGACTGATCTTTTCTAATGCATATTCTTAACACCTTTGCTCAAAGATCAGTTGACTGTAGATGCATGGATTTACTTTTAGGATCTGTTTTGGTCAGTGTATCTGTTTTATGCCATTGTTGTGTTGTTTTAAATATAATAGCTTTGTGGTACATTTTGAAATTGTGTAAATTAATATTTCCTGTTTTCTTCTTTTTGTTCAATATAACAGCTGTTAGAGGTCATTTTTCTGTTTTGTTTCGGTGGTTTCATATAGATTTTGGGATTATTTACTCTAGTTCTATGAACGAAGATACTGGTATTTTGATGAGATTGCACTTTGATAGTGGTTCTCCCAACCTATGAGCACCATTTTTTTGTGTCCACTGTAATTTCTTTCTTTATATTTTATAGTATTATAGTATTTTATAGTTTTTATCTGTTAATGGACATCTGGGTTATTTACCTCTTGACCGTTGTGAATAGTGATGTTGTGAACATGATTGTATAAATATCCTGCTTTGACATTTTTTGAGTATGTACTCAACAGTGGAATTGTTGAATACTATGGCAGTTCTGTTTTTAATTTTTTGAGGAAACTCTATACTTTTTTCCACAATGGCTGTAAGATTTACATTCTAATTGTGCACAAAGGATTTCAATTTTGTCCTATCCTCGCCAGTGCTTATTCTTTTCTGTTTAATATTAGCCATTCTAATAGGTGTGAGTCAGTATCTCACTGTGCTTTGATTTGCATTTCTCTTGTGATTTCTCACATTCAGCATCTTTTTATATGCCTGTTAGCCATTTATGTATCTTCTTTGGTGAATTGTCTATTCAGTAGCCCACTTTTAAATCAGATTGGTTTTTTGGTGTGAACTTGTAGAAGTTCCTTGTATATTCTGGTGTTAATCTCCTTATCGGACACATGATTTGAAAATACTTCCTCCAATTCCATACATTGCCTTTTCCTTTTATTATTTCCTGTGACAAGCAAAAGTTTTTTATGTTTAAAATAGTCTCTAGCACTATTTTTTATGTTACTAGCATACATTTTTCACAACTACAGAGGCTGATTTTTCTCCCATTACCCTAACAGTTTGGGAGAAGTTTGTCTCCCAAATATTTGTCAACTGATAATTCTTTCTCATATTGCACATATCCTCATATTCCATATGTAACAAGCTAATGAAAATGTCAAATTCCTTTATTTTGTCTATACTGATATTATTCATTGTGTTACTTGATAGACCAAAATAGAAAAAAAGGGAAAAGAAAGGTGACATTCCATCACTTAAAATATCCATTTTCAGTGAGAAATGAATTCAGGATTATTTATTTCTTTTCTGATAAATGCTTAAGTTCTGATAAATGCTTAAGCTATTTTAAATTTACCATAAATGTCTTAGAAACCTTTTGGAAACTATATTTTTTTTGTTTTTATTAAAAAAATTAAAATAAAAGTAAATTTAATCAATATTTGAACATCATAGAGTAAAATAAATAAACTTCCCAAATTATTGGTCAACTGTGATTATTAAACATCCAGTGTGTATTGCATATTAAGTTATGAAATATGACAAAATACAACTAATTGGTACAGTCCACAGTCCCAAGGGCCTTGGTCTTATTCTTCAGGCACAAATTCACTTACACACCAGCAGCAAAAATTAAATAGAAACATTCTGAAAGAAACTTGCTGCAGACATTCTTTGCCAAATTCAATAAATTTATCCTCTCAATATTTATTATGAACTAGCATTATACTAGAATTAAGCAATACCCTCATGGGATGTCAGTTGACTGGGAAGACCAATAGTTGGCTTACCTTCCACATCTACACCTTATTTGTCTGCACCTACCCTGTAGGTCCTGTTGGCAGAATCATGTGCTTTGGCTTGCATGGGCTTACAGTGCTGATGATGCTGGGGGCAATGGAATGAGAAGTGGTGGCTTAGTAGATTTTTTCATTACAAAATAGACAAGCCAAGTCAGTCTTCATAAAGCTTCATCTTCTTTTCCAGTAAAAGTCAGTTTCAAAACTGAGGATATAAATGATACTAAGAGCTCAAAATAGGGCTGACAAGGAAGAGGATCAGATGTTTCATTTAAAAACATTAAGGTATCCAGTTTGCTTTTAAAGGAGATGTTCCAAGTGTCTATTGGAAATGGTCTGCTTTCAAAGAAGAATAAGTTTATTTCAATAAGTTATTCCCACAGATGTTCTGTTATTAAACAAAAGACAATGAAACAATGTTTTAAATACACATGTGAGACATACATATTTAAATACAACAAGCTCGGGGCTGGGGATATAGCTCAGCAGCATAAGCGCTTGCCTGGTAGGCCTGAGGTCATGAGTTCAATTCCCGGTACCAAGAAAAATAAAAAAATGAAAAAATAAAAAGTAAAATTGCATGACCAATAAAATCTAGAGGAATTATTCTAAATACAATGAGCTCATATGTCCTTCACTATTTTTTGTAGATTTGAGGGTCAGTGTATGTGGGATATTATTTTTTTCTATTAATATATGTCTGCTCTTGGAACTGGCAAGACTGAATGCATTCTCATTTATCCTGAGCTCTATGCCAAGCCTCACTGATCACCTTTATTCATTCTTTTAGTAGAAAATGTTGCTTTATTCTTATTTATTCTTAGTTGTTTTTAGTACAAAGCTGGAATAAACATCACTAACTCTTGATATGGTGAATAGTTAATACAGTTCTTGCAGAAGTTATTTATAAATGAACCTAGAGTATCATCAAAAGCAATTAATTGCCTTCTTTTTTAGTTTTTAATACTGATTTAACCATTCTTGGGAATGCTTCTTCTACTTCTCTGTTTATTTAATCATGCATTCATTCATTCATTTGTTTATTTATTAATTGTACAAAATATTAATTGTTCATCCTGCAAGGCAAAATGCTAACATAGCCCATTACCATTATCACATCGAAATGCACTTAAGTTTTAATACTTCGTGCTCTGCTTTCCAGAGACCGTTCATAACTAGGGCCCTGTGCATACTTACATCTTAATATGGCTGGGCCATGATGGCATGACCAGGTGTGGTGGTACACACCTGTAATAATTGAAATTGGGAGGTTGATGCAGAAGGAGCTCGGTGAGCCAGCCTAGGCCACACAGTGAGTTCAAAGCCAACCTGGATTACATGGCAAGACCGCCCCTCAAAAACAAAGCAAAACAAAACCTGGTACTGTATTTTGAATGACCTATCACACTTAACCCAGATCATATACATTTAGGACTTCCCTTCTACTAGCTCTACCTTAAATGTAAACTTGTAAGATTGGTCTTATATACACTGAACATAATCAGTGTATAATACTTTTAATGCTGTTACCACCTTTTGTCATAATTTGGAATTGTTTTACAGCTTTTGGCCATTTTTCTCCCAATTCTGAAATTTCTGATAAGATTTATCATTGATCATTTATCTTTTCATTAATACATATCCAAGTAATTCAAAGATTACGTCAATTGCAAATCCTCCATCTTTAGGATTTGGAGACCTGTGCTTTTGCGCTGCCTTGACTGAGGTCTCAGGGTTATCAAGCTCAGAGAGCAGTGGTCCATCCAGTGAAGGCCTTGCCTGTCAGGACCCTTGCCTGGTCTCCCTCTGCTCCTACTCTTCCTGCTGCTTGTTGACAGCCCCAGTCATCATTAATTTAGGAGGTGTAATGCCAGAAGGTTAAGAATGACTGAATACTCAAATGTGAGCAGAACAACCATATGTTGGTGGTTTCAGAATGAGAAATATTATCTAGCAAGGCAACTGTGTTATGCCCCCACCAGTCTCATATAGACAGAGGCAGGGCTTATAGAAGATGATTGGATCCTGGAGGAGCTATGCTCGTCAGTGTAATCATCTTTTGATAAATGTGCTGTTGGAAGGTGGGGCCTGTCCAGAAGAGGTGGGTCACTGGAGGGGGCGCTGTCTCCCTCCCTGGCTCCTTCCAGGGCTCTCTGCTACCTGGCTGCCATGACATAGGCAGCTTTCCTGTGCCGTGCTCCTCCACCAGGCCATTTCTGCTCCAGATCTTACTGACGGGACGGTAAGTGTGAGCCAAAATAAACCTCTCCTCCTTTAAGTTGTGGATGCTGGTTATTGTGTCCGGGCAAGGAGGAATGTGAGTAAGGACAGCACTATTCATGGCAGGGCTGCTTACTGCCTGTATCATTTAAGTTTAGAAATTCAAAGGAGATGTGTGTGTCGGGTGGTTTTTCATATTTTGATTTTTTCTTTCTTTTACCAGGTTTCACCAAAACTCATCCCAATGCAGCAGATCACAACTTGAAATGTGGAACAGACGTGTGTCCCCGGCTGCTAGGTTTTCATTTTAAACTCATAGGATTTAATTAAAGGGACATCAGGATCACAATTGTATATTTAACTAGCTGTTTTTGATAAGTTTTCTTTGAGTGTTTCAGGACTTACACAGCCATGTAGACTTTGTTCTCTAAGCATGTTATGACCTTTTAATGAAAGCAGAAGAAAAATACTTATGCTTACTCTGTTCCCTAAGTGCTGAGAAGGTTGTCTTTACCATTGGTGCTCACATTGGATGTACTCATATCTTCATCTTGTGTGGTAAATTGTATGCAGTATTCCCTCAGGTGGGCCCTAGCAAGAGTTTCATTGATATGCTTTCTCTCATAACTAAAGTATGACTTAATAGTCCTGAGAGAAATAATGTAACAGTCCTGAGAGAGTAATGTATTTGTGAATTTGCTGTTTGGAGGAATGTTCTCTTAATGATTATTTTTCCTTCAGCCGTCTCTGACTTTCATTGGGGGGCTCTGATTTTGTGATTACATCCTGTCTCCCTAGACTATCCCCCTTCCTCCCACACTTTTTGAGCTAAATAGATACCCAAGAAGACAAGTGGGAGTGTCTCCTGGGAGAAAGGTAACTGGTTTGTGGAAGAAACAAGAAGATGTAGACTCTGGATTGGTGCTGAAATCTCCCTAAGAAGTTGCCTTTATGGACAACCATTCATCCATTTGTGCTTTGCCAAAGTCTAAAGAAGAGGGCTAGAAACCTAACTAATTAACATGGATAGTTTTGAAGATTTTAAAACAGCATTGCATTCCTTTCTATCCAGAAAAATCCTTAAGATTCTTTCTGTGTTACTGAGGCCCCATGGGCTATTTGTACTTACTTCTTAGGCCAAGAAGGGCTGTGAGTAATTTATTACTCCTTAGTCACAATGAGAACAGAGTTCAAAGACAGGAAAATAACAGATACTTATTTTTTAGGCTCACATTTCTACTCGGAAAAGATTCTAAGTATTGAATGATTTTTCAATAGAACAATTGTTTTCTTTTATCTAGGCTACTCACTTTGCTAAAGTACTTCTTACTTAGCCTTATCTGGAGAGGAACTCATCATGGGCAAGACCTGGATTGGAAGAATTGGTGAATGTTTAGTGTTGGCACTGAACTTCGAGGATTAGATGTGCAAGAAGTGCTTTCTCAAGGCTATCCTCAGCACCAGACAATTATTGGGGCGTGGGCACTTCAGAACCATCCTGGGTGTCGCATGGGAGAAAGCATAGACTCTCTGAAGACACACTGAGCAGTTGGCCTCTGGACAGATGCAGGCATACTACAGTGTAATATATCATTTTCTTGGTATTCAGTATAGGAATTTATGCATATTTTAGGTGATAGTTGTCATTGAAACTCTTTTAAGTATAGCTACAGTTATGTCATGTATAATATTCAAGGGAAAAGAGAATTGTTTTCATGAGTACCACACTCCATATATTAAACAGCCTTTCAGGCAGGCTGCATGGTTGAAAGTATACACTCCCAGCACTGGTTTAAAGAAAAACAACTTTCTTATAATATACGAAGTACCTGAGGGTAATATATATCTATATTAGAGTTATAATTTGGAAAAAAAATTTTATTGATTGCTATTGTATTTTCAAAGTTACTTGCTTATCATTCCAGTCTTTTAAGATGTGATTCTAAGAATTTTCTAAACAGTGGCAGAATCTAAGTTAATAACTTAATATTCTTAGTCAAAGAGTGCCAAGGTGTTAACAAATGCATTAAGAAATAAAATAAAGATTCCAAACTGATAAAGATCAGTATATGTGTCCTTTTTCTCACTTGGGAATGGTGTAGCTAAACATGGAAATAATGCAACAAAGATTATTAGACTAACCAACAAAAAAGTCAGTATACTTTACCACTTCTAATCAGGTTGTTGCTTTTCATCTTACCAAAGAAAAGATATTGGCTTTCTAGAAAGAACAAATAAAGCATTATCTAAATGAATTCTGTACCTTGCTTCTTATCAAAACCAATCACATGTCTGTTAAAATTGATTAAGGCTTCGTGTGTTAATATTTTGGGCTTTTATCTAATATTTTTCTTTATGAAACACATGTATTAATTTCCCAGTGACTTGTGGTACATTGTGAAGTTGTTTCCTGCTACTTTGCCCAGCATCTGTAATGCCTCTCTAGTGATAGACTCCCCTGCTGGCCAGAGGGGTGGCTGTTTCCCAGGATGCCATTTTTGATAGCCCTCCTCCACTCACTGTAATTATACCCAGTATTGGTACACAGTGTAGAATGTACCAGGTTATTTTGCTCACATTTAAAAAACGGAGGCAAAGGACAAGTCACAAAGCCATGATAATATGAGTCTGGCACCAACACCTCCTTTCCCCAGTACACGTGCGCATTCATGCCCGCGTGCACACACACACAGAGTACCAGCTGAACTACAGTTGGAAAGAAAGAAGACAAAACAAAAAGAGATGAAAGCCAAAACCAAAAATACAGAGTTGTAGGGAGGGAGCAACCGTTGTGTTATTTGCGCTCCTGCTTCTGGATATGCCTAAGACCAACTTCCCTCCATGCTCATACATGAACCCACAAATTTCCTTTTGCTTAAAGTAGGTGTTTGTCACCTGCAACCACAGCAGGAAATCATACAGCTTTTGTTATTCTCAAGTCCTGAGAGGAGTCTCGCTGCCTACAGAAGTTATGCATTATATGAACAAAATTGCTTTTGCCTGGACCCAGAGAACATATTAAGAGCAGTTGTGGGGTGTTATTAGCGGTTAGAAAGGTTGGTGGAGGATTTCTTTCTTTTGCAATTTCAGTGTAGTCACAAGTTTGATTTGTTGTCCCAATAATTAATCATCGGATAGGTTGCTTTGGCACTAACTTCCCTTTTCTTATATGATGTGGTGTTGAATTTATTAAACTTTTTTTCCCAAATTCTCTTTTTAAATTGGTGAGAGTACACTATTTTCCACTGTGGTTCTATAAGATGTAATATATTTGGTAGTACAAAGATTTATGTGTATTTAAAAATGCTTTGCCATAATATCCTGGGGTGAAATTGTCTATTGTTCCTGTCCTTTTAGGTTTTTATTGTCTATCCTGGTTTCCTACTGGAGGCTATACTGAGTATCACGCTGGGTGTAAGCATAAATACCAATAAACATAATGTGATGTGAGTGCGTGTCTGTGTGACATACACTTGAAGTCTCCTGCCTCTGTAAAGTTAGAGATACCTGTGTTAAAAATTCTAACCCAAATCCCAGCCCTCTTGTAGATTACATACATAGCAATTTCCATTAGAGACATCCCTACACCAATCCAGATAACTAATCAGTAAGACAGTTCTTTCCCTCAAAGTCACAGTACAATGCAAATCATGTTTGATTGCACTATGCTTGATGGCCCTTTTAAAAAACTTCAGGCAATGATATAGGTATCTTAGCTTTCCTTAACATGACCCATAGTCATGTCAGTATTTCTGCTGAAAAACTATGGGGTCCTAGATGCTCAAAACAGGCACTTTGTATCTTTGGCTTATTTTTTAGTAGCTTGGTAGCTACTAAGCTACTTGGTAGCTACTTTGCAAAATTTCCAGCAGGTAATTAGACAGCTTCAGAAGAAACCATGTTATTCTCTTGAAGCTCCTCTCTTGATTTGAGGATAAGAGGCCTTAGCTCCTACTTTGTCTTCTAAAGTCAGAATGCCCAAAACTCTCTCCAAATCTCTAAAACTGCTTTTAGCTCTAGCTCCCGATCCAAATACCAGCTTAACGTAGGTAAGAATCTAAACATTTTCTTGCTCAATCTCGGGTAGATACTTCAAAATCAGTGTACACTGGTAGATCTTTGTTTGAAATGTGTGTATTTTTGTGACAATTACTGGCCCTTGGTAAGTTTCTAAATATTTTTAAATTAAATTACTAGTTGAAAACAAGCGAACCCAGGTGTGGTGGTGCATGCCTGTAATCCCAGCACTTGGGAGGCTGAGGCAGGAGGATAGTGGTGAGTTTGAGGCCAGCCTGGGCTACAAAGTGAGCTCAAAGCCAGCCTGAACTGCATAGTGAGACCCTATCTCAAAAAGACAAAAAAAAAAAGAAAAGAAAACCGGTGATTCTAGACCAGCTTTAAAGAATTCCTCTCAGCTTGTCAGATAAGAACTTTGAGGAAGATGCAGGAGAAAAAAGGCAGAATCCAGAGACTGTAACAAAGAAATAAAGAAGGTTCTTCCATTAACACTTTATAGATCATCCAGAATATTCTAGCTAGTTATTTGATTTTCACAATAACCTGCCAGAGAGACACTATTACTTCCATTAAAATTAACTTGATTATTCCAAGGAGAGCAATGTCCACCATTTCTTTAATCAAATTAGCCTTTCAAGGCTAATGCAGGATTTTGCTAACTCAGTTAATGAGATGTGAATTAAATCCCCTGAACAGAACTAGATTTGTTATTCTCTGATACGCTGTAAAACAAAGCCAAAGCCCTTTAAATCTAATGGAACACGTATTCAAAGTTTGTTCCTTCTGTCCATAAGCTCTTGTACACAGTTTTTAAAGAAACGGGTAGCTGTTAAAACTAAAATAATAATCCACCCAGAAGACAAGAGGCCACTGTGGAAGATTCTTAGTTTCCAAGGTTTGCGTCTGTTCCTACAGGTAGGAACGCTTGTTTGACACCAACAGGCGAGATTAACGGGTATTATTTTATCTTTGTAGCTGAGTACTTTTCTGGAATTCAGCTACTTTGGCACTCACCTTTCCCAATGCTTTGAAGGTGGTGTTGTATCTTAGACACATTCTGTTGAATTCCCAGGTAAGGCAGTGCTGGCAGCCTGAAATGTTACTGGAGACATGGAGAGGGGCACTTGGTAAAACTTAGTGCCGTTCACACCACCAGGAAAGGCAGGTTCCATGGAAAGAGAACTGGCCACAGAATTGGAGTCTGGGGAGTGGCAGAGCTAGGAGCATTTGCACTCAGACTGACATGTAACAGGAGAACATTTGAATGTCACTATCACATTTCTTCGAATATAAGACATCATGAATTGAAAAAAGCACTATCATTTTGTTTACCCTCTTATCAGAAACTTCCTGTATACATTTAAGATTTTTTAGGCTTGAGTTCAAGTATTCCTTGCCCATTTAAAGGAAAAGAAGGGTCATTATTGAGTGCTTAGGGCAACTGATAAGTTAGAAACAGGTAATGGCCCAAGGAAATCCACCTGCCGTGGAGTTTGTGTGTTTCAGTGACGAGTAGGATCAAGTGGTCAAAGGGAGCAAGTCCGAGTAGGCATCAGGTCAGGAGGTAGGTGGGGGCAAGTACCTGTCATAGCTCCTCTTCTGGGGCAGCCAGAAGTTGAAGGGACGTCTCTGTGTGTTCTCCTCCCCTTGACTCACCATCCTTTGTATACTCACAATATTTGTCTTAGTGGTATACAAGTTTATCTGATACAAAATGTAAAATATTGTAATTAAAGGTGTTTAATGCATAAATGAAGATGTAAAAGGATTGAGAATGCCAAAAATAAATGACGTCATTTAGGATGAGTGTGCTTGTGCAGAGAAAGCTCAGGAAGATAATTAAAAAGCAACAAAACTAGGGGAAAGATTAAAATGCCATGAAATATTTAACTTGCAGAAGAGAAGTTAAAAGAGTAATTTTGTAAAATCTAAAGAATGCTATGAAACTCACGAAACAGGTCCCTTGTCTAAGTGGAAAGAAGAAATAAGAACTGAAGAACTTTAGATATTATCTCAGTTACTTCCTCATTGCTGAGACAAAAGACCTGCCACCCACAAGTTAAAGGAGCATAGTTTTATTTTAGCTCATAGTTTGTAGATGTTTCAGCCCATGGCTGGCTGGCTGCAAGGGAAAGCAGCATGGCAGAGGAGAAATGATCCACAGCATGAAAGGCACAGAGTAGTGAAGCAGCAGCATGCAGCCTCCTTTTCTTTTTCATTCCATTCAGGCTATAAGCCTGTTGGCTGGTATTACCACACCCAGGGTGGGCTTTCTCATTATCCACGCCTAAAACTATGGTAAACCAGTCAGTCAACTAATTTGGTTATCACACACCCTTACTCAATATTTGCACACCCTCAATCTGGCCACCCATGAAAAGCCCCATGAGTGTATGAAGCTTTGGGGGACATCCAGATACAACCCATAACAGATGCGGAGCAGCATTCCCCAGCAAGATTTTAGTTGATTTTTTTTGTTTGTTTTGTTTTGTTTTCCAGTACCAGGAATCGAACTCATGACCTCATGCTTGCCAGGCAGGTGCTGTGCCACTGAGCTAAATCCCCAGCCCCTCAAGGAGATTTTAAAGAACAGGAATTTTAAAAAAAGAACAAGAATTAAATTATATTTATTTCCTTCTCTTCTTCCCTTCTTCCCGTCTTGCCTGCCTTATTTATTTTAAACATTGCGTATTTTTGAGACATAAAGCTTGGCATTTATCTATTGGTAGGAAGTGAAGGAAGATGGGACAGAAAAGGTACTAGGCATGCTTATGTAAACAATATTCTGAAATCTATCATTCCTGACATCTGCTATTCAAGGATATTTATGACTTTTATAGACTTGCAAACTCTCTCGTTATGCCCAGGAAACTATCAGCAAATGCTTGGCAAAAAATAGATGCTCAAATTTTAAGCAAATGGGTGAAGAGAATAGATGAATTAATGAAAAATAATTCAGTGGCATAGGATAATATGAGCAAAATTCAACTTGTCTTTTTAAGATTATTAGTTCTTAATAACGACAGCAAATAAACACATAACTGTTTG